CGATCGCCGATCGGCAACGTGAATTGTTTTGTAGTCTCTACTAACACAGTAAAAAAAACAAGTAAAACAATTAAAGAAGCCACAATTAGCTTACACTTACACACTGCATTTCACAGATGGCCCAGGTCATTGTTGTGGCAAGTGTAAGTTCATTTTTCTATTTAGCCTACATCTTAGATCTAGTTAGTCTATTACAAATTTAAAGTAGCGTTAGACTTATACTAGTGTAAGATTTGGTATTTTATAAAGTCGAAATAAAGAAATTGTTTCGATAGACTTGACTAGAGTAAGATTTGGCCTTTTATAAAGTCGACATAAAAAAGCTGCTTCGTTAAACTTGACAAGAGTACGATTTGGCCTTTTATAAAGTCGAAATAAAGAAACTTCTATAGAACTTCCACTTCGAGTAGTACAACATTTCACAGTGCAGATTACTAGGTCAAACGTAGCTTGTTCTCCGCGATGGCGGATGTTTACATAGTGAGTGACCTGTGACTTCATTTGAAATGGGTCTATAGAAGCTACTGTTGGAGTTTTAACGTAGCGTATGTAGATACATCTTTATTCAGAACGAATGACTATAAAGTGTAATATAAAAAAAAATTTAAAAGCTTTATAATAACAAACTTTGAAATGCACTGAAAATAAGAAAGTAAAGATAAATTGTCTTCTTTAATAAAAAAAAAAGCTTTGGTCATTATTATGTAAGAGATCTCAGGAAGCTTTTATTAAAGAAAGCAACTTGGTTTTATTTTCTTATTTTCAGTGCATTTTGAAGCTTGTTGTAATAAAGCTTTATGTATTTGTTTTATTTTATAATCAACTATATTTTTTGTTGATATTTTACTGTTTTTTATATCTGTATTCTTTCAATGCTATCTATATACTTACTATTTCTATTTTCAACGCACATTTATCTTGAATATTGAGTCAATCTCACTCTTTATTTCGTAATTCCCCCTCTCTCACCTCCTCTCTCAATCTATTTCTCTTCATCCTCTCTAATTCTCATGAAAACTAGAACTTCACTGACTAAATATCTTTCATTACACAACGTAAAATAATTAACAGTCAAAAGTAGTTATCACTGTAAAAATAAATGAATTTATTATTTAATTTAAAAACAAAGCAAACTTAAAGCAGAAGCAATGTAAACAAATAACAGAAGAAAAATCCCATAATGTCACATCAGTTAAACAGTTGGACGGAATGTAACATTTTATTAAACATCAACATCCATAATTTACACAATACACAAGTGTACAGCAAAATAAATTCATATAGTTATATCCAAACCTACAGCTGTTATTTCAAACCGACAGCGATTATACAAAACCTACGAAAGTTATACCAAATCTTCAGCAGTTATTTCAAAATTTCAACGGTTATACCAAACCTACTTAAGTTATTTCAAACTTTCAAGGGTTATACCAAACCTACAGTGGATACACCAAACCACTAGCAGGTATAAAAAAAATCATTCAGCCAAACCTGTTATGTTTAACTTAAACTTAACAGTTACACTAGTCCACACTCTAACCATAACTCTAGTCTTCAACGAAATCATACCCAAAATCTTGGTCCAGACTATAGCGCTAAAAATATTTTGTGTTCACACCTTAACCTTTATCCACACCATAATCCTAATCTTTATCCACACCCTAATCCTAATCTTTATCCACTCCCTATCCCTAACCTTAATCCATACCTTAATCCTAACCGAAACAACAGTCACACCTTAATCTAACGGTATCGCTAGCTCTTTCAATGCACCTAATCCTAAACCACACCCTCGCTTTAACCTTAATTCCCTCTGTTCAAGCAACAATACAAGCAGAAATAGCAAATAAACTCGCAACAAAATAGGGTTGCCTTGCCGGCTTTTTACAAGAAACAATGGTCATCATTACGTTACGTGAAACGTTTTTTTTTTAAATATGGTTTTCGAAGCTGTCGATCCATTGGGCAGATGGAGTGAAGTTCAAATCTTTTAGGGACCTTTGTATATGAAGGAATAATGTGGTAAGCACTATGTCCAACAGCCTTAACTGTCCCTAACATGAGTTAGGTACCCATCAAAGCAGGTTGCACTTAAGGACCTTTTACTATCATGAAAACGGGATCAAAATACAGTGGAATGCAATGTATACTATATATATATATATATATATATATATATATATATATATATATATATATATATATATATATATATATATATATATATTGTTCATTAGTTTTAAGTACAAAAAATATATATAATATTCAGCAGTGAATCGTGACTAATAGTCAAAAATGAATGCTTACATATTTAGCAGTGAGACTTTGTATATGGCAAAATTTACAATAGAAAAGGGCAGTAGCTCACGCCAAATAGTGATAAATTATTTGTTCTGTAGTAAACTAATAATAATAAAAACTAAAATTATAACAACGAATTGAGCATATATAATCTCACATATAGCTTGATGAAAAAATTGTATAATCTCCTTATGCCATATAAAGCTAATCACATACGGCATAATGTCAGATGATCATATAGTGTATTAGTAAATGACATACGCTGATGACATGGGATGATGAGATTCAACATGATCACAGATAAGCCGATGGCATATAAACCCATGACATATGTTCTAAGGATATGAGACGATGAAATTTTCATAAATTTCATAAATGTCATATTATACACTAACAAAACATTTGACATTTATAGAAATTGATGGCCTTTGGATAAGTGACACATCAGTAATGGAAAAAATTAATACAAAATGTGATATGTATAAAACGTGATGACAAATGACATATCGACAGTGGAGGGAATCACTAAAAATGTATCATTTGTTCAACTTGATGTCATTTGGACAAATGACATATCCACCGTGGAGGGAACCGCTACACAGTTTGTCATTTATAAAACTGGATGACATTTCTACAAATGGCACATCTAAGTGGAGGGAACCGCTACACAGTTTGTCACTTATAAAACTCGATGACATTTCTACAAATGACACATCTACAGTGGAGGGAACCGCTACACAGTTTGTCATTTATAAAACTCGATGGCATTTCTACAAATGACACATCTACAGTGGAGGGAACCGCTACACAAATTGTCATTTATAAAACTCGATGACATTTCTACAAAAGACAGGGAATGTACTCAATACTGAGTCTGACAGTCTGACAGTTAGACGCACCTAGCGTTTGACAGGAGCCAGCTGGTTTCATGGCTTGCATGTGTTAGCGTCACGCTACTACGCTGAGTTGATTAATACATTCAATACAAAATTTTCTTCAAAATTGGACCATCAGCTTAAAAGCAATTTATATTTATAAAAACTAAAAACTAATTAAAATGGTACTCTTGCGAGTTAACAAATGGATGTGTGTCTGATATATATATATATATATATATATATATATATATATATATATATATATATATATATATATATATATTTATATATATATATATATATATATATATATATATATATATATATATATATATGTATATATATATATATATATAACTCTTTTTCCACCTAACCTCAAGATAAGACTAGTTAAGCTACTAATATATCCACAACTTAACAATTATCAGCGGTAGACGTCCTGCTACTCTAGCTAGATTATCAATTATACTTTAAGCCGGGCAGCCCCACCCTTACCTTTCTCACCCCACCCACACCCTGGCCAGCTGGCTCTACCCTCACCCTTCTCGACCTACCCCCGGCCCTACCGTCACCCCTTCTTGCACAATCCCCTCCCCTCCCGCCTCACCCTCCATCCCCACCCAGGTCATCTAGCCCCATTACCACCAGTCCCCACCCTACTCTCCCCCACCCTCACTATCTTGACCTACCCATGGTCCTCTCGCCCCACCCTTACCCTTTTTGTCCCCAACCCCACCCCGGTCCTCTTGTCCCACCCCGACCCTCTCGCTCCACCCTCATCCATCCTGTCCCGTCCCGTCCCCACCCTCCTCACCCCCACCCTCACTATCTTGACCTACCCACGGTCCTCTCGCCTTACCCCCACCCTTCTCGTCCCGTCCCTATCCTTCAACCCCCACTACACTAACACTTGAACACCACATGACACAACCATATGACACCACGTCACACAAGTCTAACATTACTCAACCAACTCAATCGATTCCATGTGCTCGTGCACGTGGGTAATTAACCAACTAATTATTCGCTTATTAATCCGCGCATTGTAATCCCTGATAATTAATTATTTTCAGGTCGACTACATATTATAAAAAAATACATGCATATCAAACGCATTTAAAAACAGCAGAAAATGTATGAACGATACAATTTCATTAATTTTACCTTAATTAAAAAAACAGTTTAATAAATTGTAGATAGTAAGAATTCATAACATTTCAGAACGTTTCATTCTAAACAATGAAAAGATAAAATTAAACCCTTATCATATTTGCCAGTGTATGTAAAGAGTAAAGGGGTCTAGAGACTACTATTCAAAGAATATTTTAAGCTCTTATAAAGCAACAATCTGTTTTCAAATCATTCAACCGCTTTGTCAGCAGATGGAATAATATGGTTTAAATTATTGTCAAAAGTATAAATATACATCATGTATTTTTACTATTATATATATATATATAGTTTGAATTTGGGTTTTGGATATAGGAATGGTTTCGTTGAATTCTCTGGGAATGTGTTGATTTCGTTAAACAAAGGCACTTCTGAGAACTTAAAGATAATCGCACTTATAGTGCATCTTGTTTCGTATTTATATGTGGTGCAATAGTTGCGTCATCCATGATCTAATCTAAAACGTTTTAACCTTTTAATTTTCATTTGCGTTTCGCCTGGTAGTAGGTGTACTTAATTCTGATCTGTTTTTTTTTTACCTTTCGAGTTATTTTAACAGATCAGAATGCATACTTATTTTACAATTTGAGTTACTTTAACAGATCAGAATTCCCACTTATTTTACAATTTGGGTTACTTTAACGGATCAGAAATCCCACTTTTTTTAACCTTTTGATTTACTTTAACAGATCAGAATTCCCACTCATTTTTACAATTTAAGTTACTTTAACAGATCAGAATTCCCACTTTTCTCCAACACCAACCTCCCCATCTCCGCAAACATCCCAAACCCAGTTTTAATGGCGTCCGGTGACGTCAGACTGCGTGGCGGCTTGGGAACGATGAAGTGAAAAGCGCGCGCCTCGCGCCAGTCGTAGTTGATGATTGGCTGAAAGTTGTCGATCTCTGTAAGATAGTCGTCCTTCCATGTTGGATGACAGATGCCCCTGTAGCAAATCACCTGTAGGAAGGGGGGGAAAATCGATATAGAGGCTGTGATCGATTAGATCAATAAAGGCAGGAGACGTGAATGTATGCAGAAGGCGAAGAAAGAAGGTTATTGATTATTCCAGCATGGTGTGAAAATTAATTTTAGGAAAAAAAATATTGTAAAGTGTTGGTGTATTAAAATGTTTAAAAAAATAACTAGTGATTTATATATACTATATTTCGTTCTTAACATACTTCAATTTATATTTAAAAATCAATATTTGAAAAAAAATCGAGTAAAATTTGGCCTATGAATAGTATTAATGGTGTGTATGATGTAGTGTATAAAATGTTATATTCTAATCTAAAGATCTCAAAATAGCTACAAGCTTTTCTTGCGAGAAATAATCTTAGTATAAGCGCCATTAATAATGTCACCTTTTGTTATGAGTATTGACTACATAATAATATAATTAGCGACAATAATTAATTAATCCAGCTGTTTTATAATTGATTGCTAATGACATAATCGATATATCGGGGTTTAAAATCTTATCGATTTTAAGACGTGTGATCTCAATTAGGACATAGGGCTCAAATCATTTAAGGTAAGGGTTCGGCTAGAGCTATACAAATATTATGTTAGACAATAAAAGTTGCCTAGGGTAGTAAATGTTATGTTTCGAAGTTAAACTGTCATTCCAAGCATAGAGGGTACGGCTAAACGCATTGGTCCACAATGGCTAGTCTGACATCTTCTCACCTGTAAATAACTGTCGACGTACACCTGGTCGGGCGCCTGCTCGTATGCACGGTACGGCATTGAGGGCGAGTTCAGAGCCCATTTATCAGCGGTTCCATACCTGTTGAGGTAAGACACCCAAATATTAGGGTAACATCAGGGTAAAAACGTCAAGTTTTAAAACCCTTTTTAAAGATTTTGCTAAAAAAGATATTTTAAATATATTTATATGGGAACATTCAGTTTAAATAGTTATAATTAAAGGTAAAATGATGATGACAAAAACATAATTATTTTTTAAATGCATGGTTGAATTTTCAATCCTAACTTCAGGATGGGTGGGTGGGTGGAATAAAAGGAGTAAACTCCTGTATGAGCGTCTTAGCAGTTAATGAACCTCATGAACCCACCAGCAAACCCACCTCATAGCCCACACGAAAACCCAACCCTTAACCCACCCCTAAATCTACCAGTTGACCCACCCTTTAACTGACCCCTATCCCCACTAGCAAACCAACCCCTAAACCCACCATTGTATCCACCCATAAACCTACCAGTTGACCCACCCCTTAAACTTCCACCCCTAAACCCACCAGATAACACACCCCTAAGTGACCCACCCCTTAACAAACCAGTTAATCCACCCCTTAATCCACCCTCTAAACCCACCAATAACCCCACCCTAAACCCACATAAAACCCCACTCTAAACCCACCTCCAAACCCAAAAGTAAACCCTCCCCTAAACCCACCAGTTAATCTACCTCTAAAGCCACCAGCTAACTCAACTCTAAATCCACTATTAAACCCACCCCCAAACCCACTAATAACCTTACACTAAAACCGCCATAAACCCACCAGTGAACCCCACACTATACCCACCAGTGAACCTAACCCTTAAACCCACCCCACAACAGTGACCACCACCCTAACCCCCCCCCCCCCCCCTAAACCCACCAGTAAACCCACCCCCACACCAGTACTAAACAAGTACCAACACATCACAGTCTACCCGCCGTATAAACAAACCGTCTCCACGCAACCGCCGGACCAAACACAACCAAACATTATTCAACGACCTAACCCCACCCCATCTCCCCTTCCCACTACCCCTCTCTAATGGTAAGCGTAGAGTAATTCAATCCGTCACGGATCAATGGCTTTCTGGTCAAAATCTAATGCCTTTACCTCAAGGTTCTCATCTGTAACTAACGTCATGATATTTGACGTGTATCCCCTCCCTCCCTCTCTCTCTTCACCGTTACACAGTAGCGCTAAAAGCCCGCCAATAAATTGACGCCACACCTCAATCTACAATAACCACTTCATTTTTTATTTTTTATTTTATTTTTTATTTTTATTAAACATCGATTTTTTTCTAACATATTTACTGAGCTCGATTCAATCAATTTGTATTATAATTTACAAAAAGCATTTTTTTTTCAATCCACCTGTTTCTGTGACCTATGCATATGAAGGGATAGTGTACTCAGCACTATGCCCAAGCTGCCTTTAATTTCCCTAACGTGAGTTAGGTACCCATCAGAGCTGGGTGGACTCAGGGAAGGTCTACTGACTTGAACCCGGTTTCGAACTCGAGACTTACGGGTTAGTAGTCTAGCTCTCTATTGCTAGTCAGAGTTTCTTTCAGGCATCTCTTCGGGAGGGCGGAGCCGTCCCGAAGAACACGTCTCCCCCCTCTCCACGAATGAAATAGAATTTATATAGAAAATAAATAGTTTTAGCAGTGTCCGCCCACCCACCCCCCCCCCCCCCGCCCAATTTTTAAAAATGTGACGTGCCGCATAGGCGACCCATCAACACCTAACTCCAGAGGCGTAGCGAGGGGGGGGGGCTGGGGGGACATATGTCTCCGGGCGCCGATCTTAGGGGGGCGCCAAATTGAAAGTTTGAGGGGGGTGCAAGTTCGAGCGGGGGGGGGGGGGGGTGCAAATAGAAAGTTTGAGGGGGTGCAAATGAAAAGTTCGAGGGGGGGGGGGGGGTTGCAAATCGAAAGTTTGTCCCCGGGCGGCGGGAAGGGTCGCTACGCCTCTGCCTAACTCTCACACTTATAGTGCCTACAATGACGTACCCGCGTACGGAATTTTTTTTGTTTTTTACTTAATTTCTTTTTTTTTTGTTTGAAAGAAAAGTAACATTTAAACGTATACTAGCCGTCCCGGCCAGGCCATGCTCTGGCTTCTGTGAAAAACCCTTCTGTTAAAGACCATTACCTGTGTGTTTAGTAATCATCATGAATCCGGCATTGCCCACCCAAACCACAACCAACCAAAACCAAAACAACAAAACGCAAACATAACGCTAACACAATTAAAAATATAAACGAAAACAAAAACCTAACAACAAACCTAACCACAACCACAAACACCAATATAAACACAAAGAAAAAACAAACAAAAAAGCAAACGAAAACAAAACCTAACAACAAACCCAACCACAACCACAAACACCAATACGAACACAAAGAAAAAAAACCGAAAAAGCAAACGAAAACAAATCAAATCCAAACGCAAAACCAACCACAAACACAAATACAAACACAAATCCAAAGAAAAAACACAATCGAAAACGAAAAAAGAAAGAACAAAAACGAACCAAATCAAAACGCAACCACTTACGCAAACCCAACCTAAACACAAAGAAAACACTAACACGAACATAAACGCAAAGTGCTCACAGTCTAGCCCGGGGTGGAATCGCCTGTTTCAGCTTAATAAACAACTATAGTACCCCAACTTATTCATAGTTTTTTTTGCACTCACTTTAACGAACGTAGGCGCTAAACCGAACACGGGAGGCCCGAGGCCCCAAATAGCACCCTGTCTGGGCGCCAGAGGACGAAACATGACATAACCGCCTTATTCAACTTAGTAAACGACTTAAGTACCAGAGGCGTATCCAGGTTTTCGTTGTAGGGGGAGCGAAAAGAGCAAAAAAAGGCGCCGAATTTTTAACCCGTTCTATATACGTGTATCTACACATTTAATTATTAATGTCAAAACAAATAAATAATTACTTTAGAATATAATGAAATTGTTTAACACTGTTCGTGTTTACAAAACGTTTTTGTCTATAATCAGAATTTAATATATCGTCATCATAAATGCTAAAGTATTAAAGCATAATGAAAGTTCTTAAAATCAGAGTTGGTATAAAACCACGCTTTTCGATATATTAGAAAAACAATCGGGATAACAGCCTACATTTGACTAATTATTGGTCTTTTAGTTCAGATCATATATTTTTAAATAACTACTGCTTCTTTGTGTTCTTTAAAGATCATTTTTTAACATAGTGATAGGTGTGGGTTAGATCACTGTATTGATCACACACCTTTTTACTGGTAATTGCAAAAACAATATTCACAGAGTTTTACGTTTAAAAAGCTAATTTTCTGGCGGCATGGTTCTTTGGTACATCATTACACGTTTTTCTAGATGTACTTAACAGATCAGTTCGGGGTGGGTTGGGGAGGGGATGGGTTCAACTTCATTCACCACTGTCCGGTCACTTTAGGTCAATTATCCAACCCAGTGTATACCTAGGTGTGACATTATTGTCGCTCTACACAATTGTGGTGGTGAGGTGTGTGTGTGTGGGGGGGGGGGGGGGGGGGGAGATAACCAACTCAGAGTGAACATAGCGTCAATTTTTAGAAGACTGTTCTAAACATACATATATATTACAGAAATATATATTACAGAAATAGATTTAAATAAGTAGCAGTGGTATTACGTCAATATTTTTTTTACAGGGGTCCATGGGGGAGGGGTGGGGTTGTAACTGTTTCATATAATTTGTAATCGTAATCACTATCGCCCAAACTGTAATAATACTACTACTTCATGGTGATGACATTGTTGACCTTGTCAAAATTTCCCCACCACTTCGCAGTTTGCTCATAAGTAAATTTAAATAGAGGTGCCACATAAGTTGTATTTGTTTCTGTATTGTAATTTTTTTTTTAATTAATCACACGATTCAAACTGTGTATATAAAGTAATTATGTGTGAAGCTTTATGTATGACATTTTCTAATTCAATTATACGTAAGAAAATACATTATACAAGTGCCTTAAACTTAACACCCCTCTTGCCAAGTTTTACTACCCGTAGAGGTTTTTTAAACATTGCAATGCATCGTAATGGCTATTTTTAGAATCGCAAACGGATGCAGCTGTTAATACGTGTTGTAAACGTAGACACTACTAGACTAGTACAATAATGCTTAATTGCTGCATGAAAAGAAATCTTGTGATTTACATAGATGTGCCGACCAAAAATATTTTTTAACAAGTATCATTGGTTAAAACTTTAAGTTTAAAAAGTTTCCAAAAAGGCGCCAATTTGCTGAAAATGGCCAGAGGGGGAGCGGCCGCTCCCCCTGCTCCCCCCCTGCGTACGCTACTGTTAAGTACATAACTTATTCATAGTCTTTTGAACTCACGCGAATGTAGGTACCATAGCGTACACGGGAAGGCCCGGGGCGCCAAAAAAGCACCCTGTCGGGGTGCCGGAGGAAGCCCGGATTTGATTCACTTAAAGACTATAGTAACCTTTTTTTATCCATAGTCTATCGCACTGTTTAAAACAAAATTATGCAGCATAGCGCTCACATGATAGCCCAGGGTGCCAAATCGAACCGTGCAGGGGCGCCGGCGGACGCGCCTATTTCAATTTAGTGAACAAAATTATAATACTCCAAGCTTATCCGTAAATGGAAAGAAATAAACATATTGGATTTGTAGGACCTGGCTTATTAAATGTTATTGATTTTAAAAAATAATTATTGAACAGTATGTTCAGTGTATAGAATAAATAAAAGGCAGTATTAAAAATACCAACGACATTGCACTTAATCAATCCCCGCTAATTACGTAATTATTTTTTTTTCGTAACATCAAAACAAAGTAATAAAACGTAAATTCTTTCTCCCCCCGATTTAATAATTTTTAAAGGGAAGTAACTGTGCAGTCAATACATTTCAGACACAATTTTAGAAATTTTATAAACGTTGATACACTTTTTAAAAAAAATTATGTAATGTTCATAATTGAAAAGTATTATTCTAAGTATATAAAATGAAAATTGTTTTTAAAGACTTTCAATGGTACATAAATGTAGACTATGAGCACGATAATAATCTAACACTTAAATCCATCGAAGTTTCCACGACAAACAAATTAATTTTTACATACAGAATTGAGATTTATATATTAGATTATAGTTGCTAATAAATTTCACTCTCTTTGAAATGAAAGTTGTTTTTTTTTTTGTTTTTTTTTTACAAGAACTACCTAGATACATGAAATTATTAATAATTTTCAATCGTTTTGTTTTAGACAAAAATGTTAGTAATAATTGGGTATGAAATATACCATTGTCCGATAGATATTACAACAATGAGGGGAGTTTTTTTTTTTTTTAAATGGGGTTGTATTATAATAAGATTACTAGAAATTAACTTAATACAAATATAAATTGCTAATATCAACTCTACACCAAAGTTCCCTTTACGCATCTTTTCTATGGGGCGGGGGGTCAACGACTCCTTCCCCCACCCCACCCAAGAAGGTCTACCGCCCCTTCTCTCCCAAATGAAATAGAATTTATATAGAAAATTATACTTGTACCAGTGTCCCCCATTCCCCCCCCCCCCTCGCGAAAAATTCAAGTGCCCCCCCCTTGTAGAAAAACGTCAGAAAGAAACACTGCCTTACACCTAACCCAAACCCTACCCCATATCAGAGGCGTAGCGACCCTTCCCGGCGCCCGGGGACAAACTTTTCGATTTGCACCCCCCTCCCCCTCAAGATTTCGATTTGCACCCCCCCCCCCTCAAACTTTCGATTTCCACCCCCCCTCAACCTTCCAATTTATTTTTCCAACCCATTTTGGCGCCCCCTAAGGTCGGCGCCCGGGGACATATGCCCCCCCCCCGCCCCCACCCCCACCACCCCCCCCCCCCTCGCTACGCTACTGCCCCATATCCTACCATAGCCCTAACCCTCATCTGTAACCATGCACTAAACCTGATATTACCTTACCACTAACAACCAAACACACCTTTATTCTAATGTACCTATTATCTGACATGGGTTATCCCCCAGAGGATTTTTGTTGATGCTAATGTCCAATAATAGACTCTTCCAAAAATAGGTGCGTCCGGTTGTTAGTAGTATTGTAATCTCTAGTTTAGTTGCATGGTTGGAAATTATGGTTAGGATTAAGTTAGGGATTATTAAGGAATAGGGTTGGGGTTAGGGATAGGGTTAGCATTGTCATTAATAAGACACATGTGAATATTTTAGCTAACTACAACCAACCTAACACCCCTATTTGAGAAGATTCTATTATTTCTTCTTTATCGGATAGTAGTATAAAAAAAAACACACCAACTAAAAATCCCCCCTAAAAATTGTTTAAACGTACCCAAAAGTCGTGAATATTTTAGTTAACTACCACCAACCTAACACCCCTATTTAAGAAGATTCTATTATTTCTTCTTTATCGGATAGTGATAGAATCTAGAAGAAATCCACCCTACGAAAAATCCCCCAAAAATGGGTTAAACGTACCCGAAAGTCGTGAATATTTTAGTTAACTACCACTAATCTAACACCCCTTTTTTAAGAAGATTTTTTTCCTTTATCAGATAGTGGTGTAAAAAAATACACACCCTACAAAAATCCCCCCAAAAATGGTGTAAACGTACCCAAAAGTCGTGCTGAAGTGTTTCAACCAATCAGCGTTGGGCTTTGCCAGGACGACACCCATGTTGAAAAACTCTGGCCACTCCCCCCGTCTGGCCCAGTCCTTGCAGACGACAGCCGGGTAGCGTCGTATGCTATTGGGTATCTCGTTGACCCAGATTATGTCCTGGTCCTTGAGGTAGAAACAGGACATTTAGCACGTGGAAGGTTAATGGTGGTGTAGATATTATGTGACATATAAATATGACATTGTTAGCTAACCCTTCCGGGTCTACTGAAGACAATACAACATTCTTAATGGATTTCAAGGATGTCTATTGTATAACACTTATATGACCTCTCATCCTCCCCCCCCCCCTCCATACACAAAACACGTGTTTTATAACATTTCAATAGACCAATAGGACATATATTGTATAACATTTGTAGAGCTTCCTTCCCTCCTATATACACATCCTTTATTTAATATTTCAACAAAACACAAAGACATATATTGTATAACATTTGTAGACCCCCCCCCCCCCCCTTCTCTTCCAACAATACACATCATTTATTTAACATTTCAACAAACCACAAGGAAATATAGTGTATAACATTTGTACAACCCCACTCCTAAATACACATCCTTTATTTAACATTTGAACAAAACACAAGGACGAGTATTTTATAACATTTGTAGAAAACACCCCCCCCCTTCTTCCTACAATACACATCCTTTATTTAACATCTCAACGAAACACAAGGAAATGTATTGTATAACATTTGTAGAACCAACCCCCCCCCCCCCCCCGACCCACCCACACACATCCTTTAATATTTAAACAAACCACAAGGACATAACATTGTAAGACATTTGTAGCATTCCCCCCCCCCCTGACATACACACACACACACAATCACACACGCAAACACAAACCTTTGAACATTTCAATAGACCACTAAAATATCTGAATATTGTCCAGATAAGACCTGCCACTGATGCAAAAATTTTACGGACGAGAACTTAACCCCCGCCACCTTTTTTTATCAACTCTATTATAATGCACGTACGAAACCTTGACCTATTTCTCAAGTCTAGACATGTGAATATTTAAACACATGCCATTAAAACAACTCCTTATCAGCTTATATGGTTGGAGTTATAAAGTACAAGTTTCATATCCTCTTTTTTATAAACTTTTTTTTGCGGAAGGGGGGGGGGGGTATTTGTTTACTTTTTTGGCGGGGCTTATCTCGACAAGATCCGAACATTTATTGTAAATATGTTTACAGCAACTCACTCCACCACCACACCACCACACCCACACACATACACACACACACACACACCTCAATCCAAGTACAACGAACGATGTATCCCACACTACAATGAACGTGAATATAAAAGCATGCCATGGGAATCAAAACATTTCAGAAAAGAATCGTTGGTCTCACCTACATAAAAAAAGAAATATTCTCCAAACCTTAGAGTGAGTTAAAGTGTTTTTTTTAAAACCCCACCCCCTTAGTCTTTTGACAGTGTTTTTTTTTCGGGAAGGGGGGGGGGGCACAGGTAAAAGTATAGTATATATTTTCTATATAATTTTCATTTATGTCGGGGGGGGGGCGGTAGACTTTCTTCGGGGAGGTAACTTTGTAACTCTAATCCAACTTTTCCAGGTGACACAAATTTCGCAATAATATGAATAAAAAAAACAATGTCAGTATTATTTAATATAGCCGTATACTATACTATATAACTTGGAATTAAACCCTCAACCCCTGAGGATCCTTCCGAAGCTCCACCTCTCGACCACCCGGTGCAGTTAGTTTTACTATAAGAATAAATCTAATCAGGAAATTTGAGCTAATTGCGCAGCTATTAAATCCATTGCATTTCTCATTTTCGCCGGCCAGTATAGGGGCTGGGGGGGGGGGCGGGGCGGGGGGGAGAGAAGCTTCTTCCGAGTAGTCATTTAAGAGGGTAGGCTCCGGGAAGAAAAATGTTCAGTACTTGTTAAGAAACAATTATTTCTCTATAACTTTTTACATCCGGTACATCCGCACACGTGTTTCCATTAAAAACTGGTAGGAAAATCTTGATAACTATGACAACAGCGGCCGTCTTGAAAAAAAATATCCTCTTCGTAGGATTTCCACCATTTATGAAATATTATATTTTAAGCCCAATAAACAATGCATTCAAAATCTTCTACCATATTTTGGGGTACTCAGCAAAAAAAATTAAAAAGCATATCTTCAAACAGATTTATTATGAATTTTCAAATTTTGGGTCTATTAAAAACACAAAATTTAGTGGAATTTTGGGGTTTAAAATGTATTTTTTTAACAGACCCACAATTTAAAAAATCAATATAAATTAATTTGTATATCTGCACTTAAAATTCCCAAAAAATAAAATACAAATGGTGTGCGCAGAAGGAATGTCAAAACCATTGCGACGCATTTACAAGGCACGTGCTACCGCCACCCGCGCGCAGCGCATCGCTGGCGCTCTGCTAGTTAATAGATAACTACATATGTAATTGGAAAATAAGTCCTCAAGGAAGGATATAATAAATACCAAAAGAAGGGAAAAGTAGTTCCATATGTAATGAAATGAAAACTGCAAACACAAAAAAAAGAAAACTAGATGTAAAAGAAATATACCTGATAGGCTCCCCCTTGTTGGAGGAGAGAAGCCAGACTAAGTTCTCCGTCGAAAGTTCCAGGGAGACTTGAATTTTTGTAAAACTTTCCTTTCTCGTCAACCTGAAAATATTTGAATTTTTGTAAAACTTTCCTTTCTCGTCAACCTAAAAATATTTGAATTTTTGTAACATTTTTCCTTTCTCTTCTATCTAAACTTTTTTTTTACAATTTTTGTAAAACTTTCCTTTCTCGTCAATATGAAAATAATTTTACAATTTTTGTAAACGTTTCAATCTAGTCATCCTGAAAATATTTGAGCTTTTGTTATACTTTCCTTTCTCGTCAGGGGTCGTCCATAAATGACATCAGACTCGTAGGTGGGTTTGGGTGGGGGTTCGTAATGATGAGGGGAAAGAGGGGGGCGTTCAATTGAATTGACGTCACACTTTTGCATTATAAAAAAAGCAATGCTAGAAAACGAAAGTTTTTAGCCGTTATTTCGCGTTTAGAAAACTTAATAAAATGTAAGAAATTGATTAAAATAACTCTAAGTCGATAGGTTCAGACAAGGTTTTGGAAAAATATTGTACTTTAAGAAAATTTCAACTGCAATTTTGAGGGCGATTGTAGGCTGAGATGTGACGTCATTTTAGGGCGGGTTCTGGCTTTTTGTGACGATGTGTTATGGAAGGGAGGGGGGGGGGGGGGGGGGGGGGGTAAAAATCGTCAAAAAAATGTGACGTCATTTATGGATGACATCCCAACAAGAGAATAAGAGTTGAATTTCTATAAAACTTCCCTTTCTTGTTAAACGTCGACACCCACATTAACGACGCCACTGAAACCCACATTAATGTCACCGACATTCACGACGCCAACAACACTAACATTAACGAAGACATTAACGACGCCTCTCACAGTACATTAAAAGGTGTCGATGTGCCACTATCCCACTATACATTATATATATATATATATATATATATATATATATATATATATATATATATATATATATATATACACGTTATGTAAGCGTTGTGAAGAATCCGCCCCATTATTAACCTCCCCCTTTCAAACGACGCCACTGTTTTCACTTTTACTCCGATTCACACAAAAATGTCCATTTATATTGAACTAACATCTTATCCTCATAGTCCTTGAACCTTATACGTGTTATCAATTTTAAAAGAATTTTTTTCCCTATCGACTTGAATGTTTATCCTGCATTGGTTTAAGTGGTGACAGCTTTCATATGTACGCTGGGGTATTTCGTCCCTGTCTACCCACGGTACATGGGAGAAGAGAAATGCACACATGCTTTTCAGTGGTGTCAAAATTGGTGTCAAAGTTGGTGTTAAGATCGGTGTCAAGATTGTGTTTAGACGCTACTTGAATATTTGTTATCAAATACCTCAAAAAAAAAATCAAAGTTACTTCCGGTGTAGTTGGGGTTTTTACGATAGAGATTCCTGTGAATAGTTTCGCGATTGTATTAAAGTAAATATAGTCATAAAACTTGACTTTGATTTTTGACTGACTTTATTTGAGATTGAATGTATTTAAAGTTTTCGTATTATCGGTAATTAAACACAATTTTTGAAACGGGCAAAAGCAAAATTGGTTTGTTTCATTTTATGACACAGAATGTAAAAAAATGTGGCTGAACTGGGTCACGCCGTTTAAAAAATGTAACTTTGTTTTTAAAAAAAGGACCGGCAAAGTTTTGAGTACATTTTACCGTGAGCTTTTTATGAAATGGGGTTTCAAAATATCGATCAGATAGTTCCTGTACAGCCATTTTAGATGGAAGAATTTAATATTTTATTTGTATTGTTTTTCTAAAAAAATATTGTAACAATAATGCTAGCCAATATGTATCAAAAACATTCGTAATCATCTTATATAATCTTAGTTTATATTCATAATATTTGCAAGAAACTGCTGTGATCAATGTATGATATATGAGTGACAACAAATAAATGTCAAATGTAGTTGTATAAGTGGGTGTGAGGGGGTGTGGATGTGTGGCTGTGTGTGGGATCTTACTGCAGCTTAAGTTTTTTTAAATACTTTAAAATATTAAAAAAAACAACAATTAAATGTCATCAATGAAAAAATATGAAGAGCAAACAAATTGTTTGAGTATAATGAATGTACAGACAAAGATCACACATGCATTCATACTCACATATAGACACATAGGCCTACATACATTCACAAATACCTTTACAAATACATACCCAAATGCATACGCACACACCACTATATGTACTCAAACCCCCGACACACACACACATGTACTTAAACCCCCGACACACACACACACATATGTACTCAAACCCCTGACACACACAAGCACATGTACTTAAACCCCCGACGCACACACACACACATGTACTTAAACCCCCGACACACACACACACATGTACTCAAACCCCCAACACACACACGCACTCAAACCCCGGCACACACACCCACACATATTCTCAAACCCCCGCATCACACACATGTACCCAAACCTCCGCCACACACACACATGTACCCAAACCCCCGCCACACACACACACATGTACTTAAACCCCCGACACACACACATGTACTCAAACCCCCGCCACACACACACACATGTACTCAAACCCCCGCCACACACACACATGTACTCAAACCCCAATCACACACACATGTACTCAAACCCCCGCCACACACACACATGTACTCAAACCCCCGCCACACACACACACACATGTACTTAAACCCCCGCCACACACACACATGTACTCAAACCCTCGCCACACACACACACACATGTACTCAAACCCCAATCACACACACATGTACTCAAACCCCCGCCACACACACACACATGTACTCAAACCCCCACCACACACACACATGTACTCAAACCCCCGCCACACACACACACACACATGTACTCAAACCCCCGCCACACACACACACATGTACTCAAACCCCCGTCACACACACATGTACTTAAACCCCCACCACACACACACACACATGTACTCAAACCCCCGACACACACACACATGTACTCAAACCCCCGCCTCACACACACACACATGTACTCAAACTAACGCAACACACACACACACATGTACTCAAACCCCCACCACACACACATGTACTCAAACCCCCACCATACACACATGTACTCAAACACCGGCCACACACACACACATGTACTCAAACCCACGACACACACACACACACACCACTATATTTACTCAAACCCCCACCACACACACACACACACATGTACTCAAACCCCCGCCACACACACATCTACTCAAACCCCCACCACTCACACATGTACTCAACCCCCCACCACACACACTCGCCACACACCAGCAACTCACCTTCACAAACGTGACGTTCTCCCCTCTCAACCTGCCCCACCACTCCCCTCTCGGCTCCGACTGGCTGTAGACGATCACGGATTCGAACCCGGCCACGTACAGCGCTGACACCACGCTCAGGTAATTCAAGAACTGGAACTCCTCGCTCGACCACATCCCTCCCGGTTTCGCCCAGACGATATGTGACGTCATGGGAATCAAACCGTCATCCTCGCTGCCTTGCGTCACCTGCAACGGTTCCCGGCGGCCGTAGAACAGCCATCGGGAAAGTTCGGAGAATTTCGTCGTCCCGTTCCAAATGTCACGTGGGTAAACGTGCTCGGAAACGACAACACAGGGGTTTGTGGGTAAGGATGCGGACGCCAGCGAATCATATTCTATCGTTGAATAGCAGCTATTTTTAGATTTCAATACTCTTTCTCTTATAGAAGGGATGGCGTCTTCGGGAAAACCCGATCTGCTGTATATTAATCCTTGCGTGACGTCACGAGTTTCACTACTCAAAGTATTGTAACTCGACAACTCGGATGCGAAGAGTTCAATAGGGAAGCGGGATAATACAGTTCTTTCTCCTATGTACACACCACCGTTGGACGCAAGTTGGGAAAGTGCGTAATCCAAAACATCATTGGTCCCACACCTAAGCTTAGACTTCGCCTGAACAAGCTGAAAATTTCGCACCGAGTGCCTCAGCTCCAGAAACCACGTATGGTACACATTTTCATCGGTGAAAGGCAGGACGTTGTAATGAAACACGACTGACGACGGTTTCAAAATGCGAACAACGCTCAGAAGCCCAAGGTAATCCTCGAAACGGAAAATTTTCTCGCCGCACCAAAAATAGTGCGCGGCCTGGTGCGCAACTTTTCCGACGGGCCCGCCCTGTTCAACATCCGGCCAAGGGCTGTGTGAGTAAAGATCTTTGACATACCTCACCCTGAAGTCCTCGTTGGCCTGAGATATCAAATCAGGTTGAGATACCGGAATTTGCGTCAAACTGTAGACCAAGAATAACAAAATGGCGCCCCATACGAAGCAAAGAGTCAGCAAATATTTCTCCTTGTGGTTGTAAATCTTCCTTAAATGCATTTCTTCCGATATTTTCTCCAATGACTTTGACATTTTATCTTTATTTTAGTCTGGTCTGTTTAAAATATCCAGTGCGTTGTTATTTATAAATTCATTTATTACAATCCTTTCTTTAGAATGACTCTTCCTATAGAACAAAAATCCTCTTTTTGATGTTAATGAAATATCTGCAAAACAGAAAACAAGAAATAAATGTCCAAGATATATATATAAATATATACATAAATATATATATATAATTATAATTATAAACACATAATATGTATATAACTAGGTCTATTTTTGCAACCTTTAGAATAAGGAAAAAAAAAAGAAATGCGCGCAATATTTTGCCCCCATAAAAATCACAGGATAGCTTTGTAGATTTGTTTCTTGCTTCGTACCTGTCTATAGGTCTATTCCAGCAGACCCGCCCAGGTCTCAGGTTCTGATTGACAGGCGAGTCAAATCAGACTTTACCTTAGCACACCGATCAATGATTGAATAGTCTGGTGCTGGTACGTGTTCACGTTATGGCCGGGGTAAACGTTACAGGTAGATCGTTTGTATAACGAAAATAGGGCGTTTTACAGTGGGGTCGCTAGGTCGGGTGTACCCGGTGCGGTACCCACACCCCGAAAAAATACTCTTCTCATATAATACTTCACCTTTTTTTTAAGTGGAGTGTTTATTTAAAATTTAAAAAAAAAATTCAACGAGGCAATATTTTATTTCAACTTCTTCTTTTACTTCAACTTCCTTTTCGTCGTTGACAAATTTTTTCCCACCCTACATGTCCACCAGTGCTTAACTTTTCCCATCACACCCCCACCCCCACCAAGACCCGCACCCCCACCTCCCATCCCTCATCCATACACATACGCACTTGACTTTCGCTACCCGCTCTACGGCACCCGCTCTACTCTCTTCATCTCAAGTAGCACGTCTCTCTACTTCCTGTTTGTCTTGACGTCACATCCGATCAAAGATGTCGGTTCCCCAGACTTGGTGCCCTAAACCCGAACCCGGAAACCCTGGCAAAAACCGGAGCCTGAACTTATCCCTGACTTAATTTTAATTTTAAACGTAACAGCGATGTTAGAAAATGTAGAAGACAAAAAAAAACACAATGAACATCATATGAAACTACTAAGATTCTGTTTATAAAATAATTCTATGACTTAAGCTGGGTTCACACGTCTTAACAGGTTTAAGAAGAGGCGTAGGGAAGTAGGGTACATATGTCCCCGGACGCCGACCCTAGGGGCGCCAAAATGAGCTGAAAAAAAATGTAAGCTCATTTTAGCTGCAGTTTTGAATTATAAACACAAAATATATTGGGGGGAGGCCAAATTGAAAGTTCGTCTCCGGACGCTACGCCTCTGGATTTAAGTATATTTCACCTTTAGTATCTGACAGATGAGGCAGATAAAGTAGAGTGTGTGTGTTTCATGGCCCCAGCTTATGAAGGGATGGCGTGGTTAATACTATGCACAGCCTTTTTTTTTGCTTTCTCTTACGTGATCCGGGAACCCATTAGAGCTGGGTGAACTCTAGGACGTCCTAGTTACTCGTGCCCTTGACGCCCAATTTGACCTAGCAGACAGCCAACTTTTTTCCCCCTCTCCCTAACCCCACCCCCACCCCACCACACACACACACACGCACATAACATTTAAGACTAATTCACCTACCGCAAGATGAATCAATTTTTTTTAAACACATAGTAACTTTTTGAACTCGTATCAAAAAACACCAAACATAAAGAAACCTTTACAAAACAGTCAGATGGCCGTCGAAGTTCTATTGAGAGACATTCTTGTTAGTTCAATTCAAACGGTTTCTTTTAACACCAATCCTGACGGGTAATAGTAGGTGAAATAAAAAAAAAACCTCAAGCTTCGAATAAATAAGTCAATCACCAGTTTAAAACTGAATTATAAAAAATTAAAATGTCGCGCTTGTAAAATTGTGCACGGATGTAATGTATTTGGCAATGCGGTGCGTTTTTTTGGGACACAAGGTTCGCGAATAAAGAGAAGAAACAAAAAACCTTTCGCAACATATCCTCGATGTGAAATAATTGCCTTTTTGGGGGCTGTCATACGATCACTTTCAATAGCACTGCACCCTGAATTACATTGCCCTCGTTTGTGTTTGTGAAAAGAAATTATAAAAAGCTGCATTCTATTAATTTAATGGATTTTTTTATACTTCTTTGGTGCAGGGTATACGTTGGGTAACCTCTCGCGTAGTATTCGGTAGTTCTTTCAACGGGTCAATGGTCTTTTTTTTTTAAACGTCGAGTTAGCGGTGCATATATTAAAATTTTTTATTTCATTTTTCAAGGGGAAATGCTTAAAAAATAAAATATGTAATGTAACCTCTTGTCGGTGGCACGACTAGCTTAAATTTTTTGGCTTACAAATGATGTGTGACGAAACTTGTTCATTAATTCAATAGCGGGGGTTGTAGAGTAGAAAATATCGTTCTCTCACACCTAAAAATTCAAAGTCTTGTTAGCCAAGAATTTCCAAGCTAAAATAATTGTTGTGAACGAAATACTTATTAATAAAAACACATTTTTAAAAAAAGGTGGGTATGTGTTTGTGGGGCTCGCTTCAAGTTTATAAAACATTTAAAGTACATGGCATGCAACAATACGCTTGAAAAGTTGGCTCCGAATAGTTCCAAATAGTTGTTGCCAGTAAGCTTATTTTACAATCAAATTTGAATATTTCATAAAAACTTTTGTGAAATCAGTACACAATACTTCCGGTTTTGTTAAGTCTAGAAATATTCAAACAAATAATTACTAGTAATATAATAGTAATTTAGCTAACACTTTTATTTTCAATTTGGATTAGTAGAGTCAGTGTGTTGTGGTTGATATGGGATGTTGTATCATTTAAGTAAACTACTAGGCTATACCCCATTGACCGACATTGTGTATTTTATCATATAAAACAGTTGTTGTGATTTTCATTGTTTTAATTTTCCTGGCCACTCCTGTTGACTTAATAGTACAGGTTAAGGGAGTTTTTTTTTGTTGTTTTTTTTTTAAATATTTGAATTGATAAAGTAATTTTAAACGGCTTTTCAACGGCGTATATTCTTTACAAAAATATATAAATACATGTAAGAGATAGTTTACAAAAGGCTTTAATTTTTAAAAATGTAAAAATTATTTATTGCTTGTCATACTTTTAAAAGAATTTTTAAATAAATTAAGTGTGATTACATAGACTGTTTGAGACTAGTTTACATATTTTACTAATAATAGAATCAATTTAAATACTTGTAAGCCTAACTAAGCTTTGGACAACTTGTTATGAATTTATTTTAAATTAGTAGAAACTAACAGCACGCTTCTTTGAAAAAATCATAATGAAATATAAACAGGATTGTGTTTAGCTAGGGTAAAAGGGCTGGGGACAGAGGCGTAGCGAGGGGGCGGGGGTGCGGACCGCACCGGGTGACACCAAGGCAAAAAAAAGCAAAATATATAGAGAAAAACTTGAGGGGGGGGGGTGCAAATCGAAAGTTTGAAAGTTTGTTTCCAGGAAGGGTCGCTACGCCTCTGGGGAGGGGGGGGGGTTGACACCATTAAGAGCCGCACCGGGTGAAACCCGACCTCGCTACGCCACTGGCTGGGGAACCGACACTTTTGACTCGACGTCACAAGTTTAGCAGAAAGCGAAACTTGCTATTAGTGTTACTTTTAGGCCTTTTTCCACCAAGGGGTGGGAGGGAGGATGGCGGCACTTGAAAATTTCTGGAGTGGGGGGCGGACTAAAGTTTCCGGGCGGGGGGGGGGGGGGGTGGGTCGAATATTGGTAAACGTAAACATTTTCATAAAAATTATACTTCGTTCGGGGAAAGGCGGTAGACGTTCTTCGCACCCCCCCCCCCCCCCTGACACACATCTGAAGAGCAATGTTCCCTCTAAGGGGGAAAAGCTAATGTGCAAAAATTTTTTTCTGTGCGCGCTGTTCTAAAAGTCTTATGCAAGGATATATTTATTTTACAAAATCACAAAACTACTGCGCGGCCGCGTAACCACGCAGCTTAGAGGGAACATTGCTGAAGAGATGCCTGAAAGACTCTGCTTGCTACTTGTAACGACGTACCCAGGGTGCGGTAGAGCGGGAAGACGGGTGTCACGTGTGAGAGGGGAGGGTGTGGCTGGTGGTGTGTTGGGAATAGCTAGAACCCTGGAATAAATGTAGGGCTAAAGTAAACATACACGGGACGGAGTGGCCTACCCGTAGAGAGCTGGACTGCTATCCCGCAGAGGCGTAGCGACCCTTCCCGGCGCCCGGGGACATACTTCCAATTTGGCGCCCCCTCGAGAGCAAATTTTCGATTTGCACCCCCCCCCCCCCTCGAACTTTTCATTTGCACCCCCCCCCTCAAACTTTCGATTTACACCCCCCCTCGAACTTTTCATTTGCACCCCCCCTCAAACTTTCAATTTGGCGCCCCCCCTAAGGTCGGCGCCCGGGGAAATATGTCCCCCCCCCGCCCCCCCCCCTCGCTACGCTACTGCCCGTAAGTCTAGAGTTTGAATCCGGGTTCAAGTCAGTAGACCGTCTCTGAGTCCACCCAACTCTAATGGGTACCTAACTCACGTTAGGGAAAGTAAAGGCGGCTGGGCATAGTGCTGACCACACTATCTCTTCATATGTCGAGGTCACAGAAACAAGTGAACTCCACAACACCGCTAGGTTTGAAAAGGGAACTTTACTTTAAAGTAAACATACACGACTACATAATACAAGTCATTCTTCGACAGAACGTTTCGATAAATTATAACGTGTGATTACTCACTAAATTATATTAGGTTTGTTTCTGTATATGTTTACAATTTTGAGAACATTTTCATAGACAAAATTAGAATCAAATATGATATTGATAATCTTTTTTTTTTTAAATATTAATAAACATGAAGCGTATATTAAGCTTTTTTCGTTATTCGCACATTGAATTTATTTTTATTCGCCAATAAAAGAAAGCCTTTCCCAATGCTCTTTTTTTTAAATATTATATTTTATCGCAATCGAAACACTCTTTCC